TATATTGTATTTTATTATATATATTATAATCATAACTACTAAACTTAGTTCATGAGAAAATATACAATTTAATAATAACAGAACTGCTATACTTACATTTAAAGAATCATCAAGTGGTATAAGAAAGGTCATGTTTCCTTTCATATCTGTGGTGTTTATCGACGTTTTGCTTATGTAATAATTGAGCTTCATTAAATTATTCGTCTGGCTTTGTTCACAACGTATAATTGCTACCATTTTTACTCGGTATTCACCCTGAGGAAATATATAAAACCATTATAAGCTGTATCATATTACGTATACGGAATTGGAGGACATTCTTTTGTTACAATGTGGTGATGCATATAATTAGTTAGGTGCTTACCATCGGTAATTGAGGTAAAAACAAACGTTTAGTCGTATCCGAATGAACAAAAACAACGAAAACAATAAGATGGATTAGTAAACACTTCATCTTTTGTCTATAATATCGTAACCACACAAGTAATATCAATGAGCTTTATTGTCATACTGTTTTCCTGCAGAGAACAATGATTTTTTGTACAATAGTATGTACTTAAATGTTCTCTTTTAGATTTTAATTTTTAATGGGATCATGTGTATGTTTATTATTTATTGACCATGCGTATACTGTTGTTGCTGTAGGTGCATTTAACATTCAATATTATGTGGATAACCGATGTGCAATGTGCATTGATTTTTATCAACTAGACCATACGGATTATATTATTCGCTGATGGCGTAATATCGTTGGACGTAAACATGAATAAAAAATTCCAAATGACCGTGTAAATTTGTAAAATTATAAACACATAATTTGTTGTGTGTGTCAAGTGATGTAAAACCATTGTACACGAAAGAAATATTTGATGTACTAACTATATTTTATTATCAGTGTTTGGAAAGAACGCCATTCATGAACGTACGTTCACACGTTCACGTTCATATCCACATTTAGTGAACCTTGCTCGTTTTCATTAAATTAGACGTGAATGTTTATGTTTTAATGAATTTGAACAATATTTAAGACGCTCAATTTATTTGACATTTAATGAATATATTACGTTTAAAACATATTGATTATTTATATTATGTAATACAATTTCCTTATTTCAATTAATATTATAATACAATTTAAAAAAAACCAAATGAACGTTTTTGAACGCATTCATTTTTTCAAAGAACGTGAACGCTAATGGGTTCATTTGAAAAAACAAACGTTAACGTGAACTAGCGATTGCTATATTGATACATATTATACCTTATTAGGTAGTTACAACCTGTAATTGTATTGAACCTTTTCTCTCCTATTTGAGGATATTATATAATACCAAAATTAAAGATCGTTGGATATTTTTCACGGCTGAAATACTAGAACTTCATCTAATTCAATTTCTTGTTTAAATTCGATCTACATTTTTTTACATACGATTGCAAAGTCAGAAGAACTTTTAACATCAACCATTTAAAGGAAAAAAAATATTTGTTTAATTCTATTTTAGACAAACACAAATAACATTAAATATAGCATTATTACCAGGGCTAGTTTTTCATATGCGCCCTTTAATTACATTTGAACTACACATTTTGACATGTTTATCACATTGTACCTATACTTGAGCTGAGACTTGAGATATCGAATAGTTGAAACATATTAGGACTTAGAGCGTTATACATGATAGCCAATACACTTTAAAGAATTAAAAATATCAGCCCAAATAGATCAGGGAAATAAACTGTAAGGCATAGAGTCTTAACCTTCTCTGGGCCGTGGACCCCTTTCAAGTATAAAATGTAATCACAGACCCCCTCCCTCCTCAAAAAATAAATATTAATTTAATGATAGTACTAAGACTTAATACAATATTAAATTATTGTGATTAATAACTTTTTATAATAGTTAAAAACAAGTTTTAATGTGACATATTATGCTGTTTTTTTGATTGCAATATTGCCTTGAAATGTAGGATGGTACTGGACAGAGCAACAAGAATATCGTCCTTAAAGTCCAATTGATTTCTTGTTTTAGTTTTAATTGTGACCATTGCAGATAATCCAGACTCGCAGAAACATGTATACACTGTTTCAAAAGAGAATATACCAGATTCACATAAGAAAACCGGTTTTGCCCGTGGCCGCCTGGTATGTTCTCTTTTGAAACAGGGAATATAATCAGAACTCACAAATAAGCCTTCGTCAATGAACACCAATATTCAATTACATTTTTTGTTTGAAACCGGGGCTGCATTTTTGATCTCAAATCAATTGATTCATATTTAACAAGGTCTGAATAATTATATTGCACTTAAGTCTACTAGAAAATGACAATATTTCTGCTTTCGAATATGTAAAATCCAAATAATTGCCGAGTACATTTTTAAGCACGTCAAGATTTGCACAAATTTGCGTTTTTATGGAACTGCATAAAGCAATGTTATTTTTTGAAAAAAAAGTGTCGAAAAGTATGCTAAATTTTCCAATTGTGTACATAATATTTTTAAAAGGTAAATCATCTGCAATACTTTTTCTTAAAAGACTTGAAGAGTTAGTAGAATTTTAAGAGGACAAGGTAGGAATATTGTAAACATATAGTAAAATTCAAAAACAATAAAATAACAATATATAAGATGCAGAAAGCCGTTTATTTATGCAATCATAAAATCTGTACTTTTAAATTCAAAGTGAGCTCTGTTGTAGATCCACAACAGTAATTTCAACACATAAAATGACGTTGGTTGTATTAGCAAAAATTGCATGCACGGTGTCAACAATGTTTACATTTTTACAATGTAGCTTCCCGCCGTCTGTCTGCCTCAATGTATGCTTAGACTTTTGAGACTATGCAATAGATTTTGATTCGGCTTTTTTTAATTGATAGATGCATTCAAAAAGAAAGTTTATATGTATATAACATGTATGGCTATCGAACGATTGAGAACGTTATACCTTTTTAGCCGAACGATTGAGAACACTTAAAAATAACAAAAAACTTACCACTGACCCTAAAAAAACTCAAAAAAGAATACGATTGAGAACGAATTTACGTGCAACGTTGCCATATCATTTATTATTTATTATTTAACAAATATTCTAGAAAAAAGTCATATGTAATGTAAATATGTTTTAAATTTTTTTAAAAATGTAGTATTATAAAAATATGTAATAAATATGTAAAAAAAAAGTAAACAATATAATACCTATGTGTAAAAAATATAATGAAAAATGAGTTAGGTACCTATGTATTAGTTATAGCGGGATAGCGTAATCCAACATAACCTAACCTTACGTTTATACGAGGACTAGTGCGACGAAGTCATTCTCTCGTATATCTGGTATCTAAGTTATAAATAAGATCCGATAAACGTCCGATAAATATTATATATCAACCGCATCAATCGTTCAGCCCAAAAGGTATAACGTTCTTTATCGTTCGATAGCCGATTATCGTGCTCAAATTATCTTTCGATAACATTTGGCAACGTTGGAAAAAAAGACATACCGAGCGTTCTCAATCGTGTTACCAAAAATAACGTTCTCAACCGTAACGTTCTCAATCGTATTTTACCGACATGTAGTAGAGAAACACTGTTATTTTTAAAAGTTTTTAATCTGATGTCGTAAATAAACACAATTTTTTGTACTTACATTGCAAACGCTTTCTGAACCCTACAAAATATATCAAATTAATATACTGCACTACTATAGTATTGTACACCTTAAAAAGGTCTAAAAAAAAGTCCGCGATGGCATATAGTCTATGTATTAGGAGAAAGAAACAATAACCATTTTTTATCCTCTACTTTATAATATTGGCTTATTTACGAAGCAATTCAAGTAATACAGCATTTATCCTTATCCAATTCAAAACTTTAAATATATTGTGTATTTAATAAATAGATCAATATGGTCTTCTACAGCATGTAAATTAAATGAATATTTTCTACGATATTACAGATTTATCAGTTGATGCTGATACAGCGGTTACGGCGATACCAGCCAAAGGGGGGGGGGAGTATTTAAAAGCAAGTGGGTATAAATAACATACAATACAATAAAAAAAATAAAGTAAAATATAAAATTAAATTAAAACAAATAGTTATATAAGTGCACAAGTAAAAAACAAAGAATCTGAGAGCATTGAATAGAAAGACATTTTGTAATAATAAGTATCAGCATCGCACGGGTGCAGGGCCGGGGCGGTTCGCTAGTATATTATATAAATATAAAGTATTATAGTTTTATTGTGTTTAATGTCTAATCATTTTCCCAAAGGCGCTTCACCTCTATAATAGAAGTTGAACAGCCATAGATTTCCTTGTTTTTGGTGTATTGAAAACGAAGTTTGTATGTTCCATAAAAAAATTGCCTGGGTAAATTGTAAAGCCAGTGATCATGCGGCATGTTTTTTGCAACATAACAACCCTGAAAACATAAAATAAAATTTTCTTCTTTATATAACAAATCTTATATCTAGGTATATTATGTTTATGTGGAAAATAAGCAAATGGAATTCAAAAATCCAATATAAATATACAATAAATGAGGAAACAAACATTTTTAATCGCAATGAGAAGTTCAAAAAATAGCAATATATCTTTCAAATGTTGTCATGACGTAAGGAAACTATCATAGAAGTGTAGATAATCTAGTTTTATTGCCAACTTTCACCACAAAAATCACGAACTAGATTCGATATAAAACCAGATGAGAAGCTGAAATAGAAAATTCCAAAGGTGCAGATGACGGATACACAACATTTAAAATTAAAAGAAAAAAAGAATTATTGTATTTTGAGTCTTAAGATCTTGACTTTCATAATGTTTTGAACAAAAAGTCACTTATTAACATAAACCCATAAAAGAGTTAGGCTCAGACGAATGAAAAACAGTAGTTCATTTTTCCACACTAAGTAATCCAATCAAAAATATGTTAATATTTAGAACTTCAGAAATGTTATACAATATAAATGTACGATATAAAATCAAAATTTAGAATACATTAATTTTAATTATATAATACTAATCCTTACCACGGGAATAGGACAACCACGTACATTAGACATTCCTAAACGCTCCGTTAATGTAGACCATGAATTTCCCAAAATATGCTTGAGTGAAGAGCAAGCTTTTGGTGTCTTAAAAATATGAGCATTCTCCTTCCAGCCACCAATAGAATCTTTTACCGCTAGATTCAGTTCAATCTAAAAGGAAAACGATTTACGTATTTTGACCAAGATTAGGTCTACCAGCTTAAAACTATAAAATTCCATAAATATTTTAGAAGTTTATGTATTTGGTACTCAACTTATTACATGAACTAGGTATATAAAATCATAAATTTATAATTTGTTCAACAATAAATCTTCATTAAACTATATACAATTTAACAATTGTAACAACTAAACTTACTTCAAGAGAAAATACATTATTTAATAATAATAATAACATCTAAACTCACATTAAAAGTATCATCAAGTGGTATATAATAGGTAACGTTTCCTTTGATTTCTGTGGTGTTCGAAGACGTTTTGCTCAAATAATAATTAATTTGAATTAGGCCATTGGTCTTAATTGATTCACAGCGTACCATTGCTAACATGTTTACTCGGTATTCTCCCTGAAGAAAAAATTTAATTCATTTTAAGTTGTTTCGTAGTACCCACCTATACGGAATTAAAGGACATATTATATTTTAAGTAGGTATAGACAAGGATAGAGAACATTCTTTTGTTATTATATGGTGGTAGCTATATTGATACATATACCTAATAAAGTGCTTACAATCTTTAATTGTGGCTGAAACAAGGGTTTAATTGTATCCGACTTAACAAAAACAACAAAAACCATTAGATTAATTATTAAAAACTTCATCTTTCGTCTATAATATTTTAACCGCACAAATAATATCAACGAGATTTGTTGTCGTACTGCTTTCCTGCAGAGAGTAAAGTGATTTTTTGTACAATATTAAGTACGCAAACGTTCTCTTTTAGTATTTAATTTCTAATGGTATCATGTGTATGTCTATTATTCTTTATTGACCTTGCTTATACTATTGTTACAGTAGATGCAAATAACATGCATTATCATATGGATAAAAGATGTGCAATGTGCATTGATTTTTATCTACAAGACTATACAGATAATATTAATCTCTGATGGCCTAATATCGTTGGACGTAAATATGTATAAAAAAACCCAAACAGCCTTGTGAATTTTAAAAATTATAAACACTTCATAATTTGTGATCGTCGAGGGTTAATATGCCTTATATATTATTATTTGATTGTGTTGTCATGAAATTACTTTTTTCGTTATTGCACAATACACACATATACCTAGTTTTTTACACAAACGAGATTGTTTATAAGGTTTTGGTATGTTACATTATATATGTATAATATAATATAAGATCTTTATGTCTAGTTAAAAAATTATTTTACCATTTGTTTTAGTCCGAATGAAGATCCATGGAAAGAAAAATCGATAAGTTTTAAGGAACAAGTTCTCACGCAAGGATCTGGAAAATAAGAAATTTTTTTTAATTCATAAATCTTTGCATGGAAAACATTCCTAACATCTTTGCGTTGACCTTGAATCAAGAAATTATTTCGGAAAACAAATAAAAGAGTTGAAGTTGTATATATCATGAACAAAAGTATAAAATTATTTTGATCAGTATCAAGTATATACAATTATATCTATTTTCAATTATGTATTATATTGTATATAAGAGAACATAGTGAACATTCTTTTACAAGAAGATGATAATTTCTACCGAAATTATAGTTCATTTAAAGTAACTTGTTGCTTATTAAGATTATATCAATAAAAAAAAGCTGATTAATTTTATGAAAATTAAATTTCAAAAAGTTAAAATTAACTAAACATTAAATTTTTAACACGTTTATGACCAGGCTTGATTGTAAGTGAAATTTTGCACTCTTGTGTATTTGTGTATGTATGACTTATTAATGTCAGATTGAATTATTAATAGCGTAATCTTACATATTTGTATTATCCTGTGTGGAGGGAGCCCACCTATATTAATATTTATTGTACCACATAATCTACCCCTGCAGATGATAAATCGAGGCCTCAGATTGAGTCGTCGGCGGAGAAGCAGAGGCTGGCGTTTGACATGATGGTGGAGACGATTTTGAGTGACGAGGCATGCTTTAGGTGTCTTAAAAATATGAAGATTCTCCTTCCAAGCGCTAATAAAATCTTTTACCGCTATCTTAATTTCAATCAGTATAAAGAAACCAGTTTACACATTTTGACCAAAATCAGATCGACCAACAAACTACGAAAAAATTCAGCAATTATTTAAGAGGTCAATAAAATATTTGAAACAAACTCAACTTATATTTGTGAACTATATAAAATCATAAATTTACAATTTATTAATTTATAAATCATAATATTCGATACATATTAATAATTATAATGACTAAACTTACTTTCAGAGAAAATATACTGTTTAATAATTATAATAACAATACTTGCATTAAAAGAATCATCCAGTGATACAAAATTAGTTGCTTTTCCTTTGATTTTTTTTTGTGTTGGCTGAAGTTTTGCTTAGATAATAATTAAATTATATTCGATTATTCGACTGAATAATGACGGGACAAAGTAAAATAAATAAAATATTTACTCGGTATTCACCTTGAAGAAAAATATAATTTCATTGTAATCTGTATGATATTGTATAGTAGGTATTAGGTATTAAGTATTATGACCTTAGCTACTTATTAGGGAACATTGACTAAGTAGAGAAGGCAGCCAGTGGCCTGGCTCAGAAAAGGCTTTTATGTGCAATGGTTGACCTTAACGTGAGGAAAACCTTCAACTCATCATCATATCTACTCATTGATGCTGCACTTTGAAAACGTGAGTTTCCGGGATACCTTATTCAAATACTACAGTCTTATATGAGACTTGGACTATGTCCACTATTAGAAAGTTGAAACCCAACATCCAGGGGCCTTCAGCATGTAAAAGGCGTCTGTTTATGTCGGTAGCTCACTGCAAACTGCTATATACATCCCGGGCCTAAACGCTGACGGCGCCGAAGACGTGCACGGAATAGAACAACCCTCAGCCATGCCTAAAGGGGGGCCGCTTTTCGGGTTGCGAAGTGTTATAGGACTGTGTCCGATATGGCTGCTCTTTTCTTGGTTATGGCACCATCGGACCATGGATGCTACCAGTTTTAACTGTCGAAAAGAAGGTGAGCTGCTAATATCTGCGCATCCACTGTGGGAGCCGGAATACTCAGTAGAAGTTCCATTGTCCGTACTGAGCAGAGTTTAGACTTGAGACGGATCAGCTCATTGGTCGAAAACAACGGTCCAAGGATGTCTCTGATATCGTTCTGTAGCTGGAGCAGAACTCCTCCCAGATGATAAAATATCGAGGAGGCCTCGGATTGAGTCGTCGGTGGAGAAGTAGAGGCTAGCGTTTGACATGATGGTGGAGACGATACTCGGGCAAAAGAAAGCTGCAGAGCGCATCAGGCAGGCAAGAGGTTGACGGGTAACTTAAAAGTCTTGTTTTTCTGTGGGCCGAGTCAGCTTTTCTGGGTCGTTAGAGGCCTCCGCCTATGCATAACTTGAATTATATTGATAAAAAACGATAAAAGAACGGTTGGCAGTATTGTGATAAACAGTTCCAACCCATTCCTGATTTTTGAACAAGGAAAAAAAAGGTATCACAGAACATAATTTTGTTACATTGTGGTGGTTGCTATATTGACACATAAATACCTCCTAAGGTAAGTACTTACACTTGGTAATTGTGGTGGAAACAAACATTTACTTGTATATGAACTAACAACAATTACATATACAATAAGAATAATAAAATAAAGGTTAGTCGCACTAATATATATTCTCTATTCAGGTTAAGATTGAACCGATTTCGCGCACGTATACTGAGCCACCGGTTCCTGTCTGCCCCCCCCCCCCCCCCCCAGGCGATGACCATGAGTTTCGTGATTGGCTGTGTCAGTCATCGGCGGCCGTCAATAATCGTCAGCGCCGCCTGCAAGCTCATTGTAGCTCCCGTTTTATGGTGGGAGATTCGCTGACCAGACGAGTTTTGGTCGGCCGGGAGGTTCAATCTTAACCTAAATGGAGTATGATAGCAAAATAAGCTTGCAGTACGTGATATGTTGTATAAATATAAACTATTATAGTTATATTGTGATTTGATGTTTAATCAGTTTCCCAAGGTCGCTCCACCTCTACAACAGAAATTGAACAGCCATATACTATCTTTTTTGGTGAATTGAAGCCGTCATTTGTATGTTCCATAAAAAAATTTCTTAGGGAAATTTGAAAACAATTCATTTTCATGCTTGATGCTTCATGCCAGATGCAACATAACAACCCTACAAATGTACAGAATATTTTTTTTCTTCAAATTACAAACCATTTTATATATTGTAAATACTAATCAGTATTTGGAATCAAAATTTCCAATATGGGAAAACGTTAAATTAAAGAAAATAGTTATGATAGTTTGTACAGCTGTCTTGTACAATAGGTATCGTGTATGTCTAGTGATGTAAAACCATTGTACATTAAAGACATAAATTACATACTTATTTTATTTTATGATATCAATAAATTATTGCTATTAAAGTAATTTATTTTACAATATTAAACTATAATAATAAAGTAGGTTGAATTACTTTTTGGTTGAAAAATTTCATTTAAATATATCATTGTGTGTATAAAATATAATAATTTAAGTAGCTACTTTACGTAAATGTTTCATCTACCCACTGCTATAATAATATCTTATGAGAAATCTTGTATTAAATATTCAAAGTTTAAATATAAAATGAATATTTTTATAAATTTCCAACTAGCTCATAAAAAATAATGGAAATGTAGGCAACCCTTTCTTTTGAAATAACACTGATAACAATTTACAAACAGTGTTGTGCTAAATTTTCAAGATACTTAACAAGGCAAAATATTATTTGTTGTAGAAAAAGTGAAAAACAAAAAAACAATCGAAAATTTCTAATTGCAATAAAAAGCTTCAAAATCCTATTTCCAATTCAATGTATAAAATATGTTCTGAGTCTTGAGATCTTAACCAAAGTTAAATTTTGAACAAAAAAAGGCTTTATTGTAACGAGTGTTATACATTTAAAATGCATATTATAAGATCAGAGTTTAAAATATCTTAACATTTATATTAATTATATTTATATAATACTTATCCTTACCGCGGGAATAGGACAACCATGTATATTGCGCATTCCTAAACCTTCCGTAAAGTTCTTCCAAACATTTTCCATCAATTTCATGATTGAAGTGCAAGCTTTAGGCGTGTTAAAAATATGAGCATTTTCCTTCCAACCACCAATAGAATCTTTTACCGCCATATTGATATCAACCTATAAGGAAAACGATTTACGTATTTTGCCCAAAACCAGATCTACCAGCATAAAACAATAAAATTCAACAACTATTTTATAAGTCGATGCATTTGGTGCTCAACTTATGGTGTGATCTAGGTATAAAAAATCCCGAAATTCTTATTTGTTCAACAATAAATCTATATTTTTTTATATTCCCGAAAATTTAATAATCATAACATAACAAATAAACTTACTTCAAGAGAAAATATAAAATTCATTAATAACAGTAACAGCTATAATTACATTGAAAGAGTCATCAAGTGGTACTAGATAGGTGAGGTTTCCTTTCATTTCTGTAGTGTTGGTCGACGTTTTGCTTATGTAATAATTAAACATAATTAAGTTATTCGACTGACTTTGTTCACAACGTTGAATTGCTAACATTTTTACTCGGTATTCACCCTGAGGAAAAATATAAAATCGTTACAAGCTGTATCATATTATGTACCTATGTGGAATTAGAGGACATTCTTTTGTTACAATAATGTGGTGGTTGCTATATTAATACAAATTCTTAATTATTTGCTTACCATTGGTAATTGAGGTAAAAACAAACGCTTAGTTGTACCCGAATGAACAACATTTACAAAAACAATAAGATTGATTAGTAAACACCTCATATTTTGTCTATAATATTATAAACACACAATTTATCAACGCAGTTTATTGTTCTCCTGTTTTAATTAAATAGTTTTTCGTATAATAGCATGTACTTAATGACTTTTAATTTGTGGTGCAATCATGTATATGTATTTTATTATTTAGTGGCCTCGCTTAAAATATTGATGCAGTAGATACCTAACATGTAACATCACATAGATAATAGATGTATAAAGTGTATAGATTATATTATGTTGATAATATTATTCGTCGATGGAATTATATCCGTAGACATAAATAATAAAAAAACTTAACTGCCTCCTAAAATTGTAAAATTATTGACTCTACATAATTTGTGACTGCCGAGGGTTAGGATACCTTATAAGAACAAAGGACTTCATATCAGTATTATGTAGAGGGTGTTAGTCATAGGTGGGTAATTGATTTATTTGATGGATAATGTTGAATGGGAG